TACGCTAAGTTACAAGTGCAAATAAATTTAGTATAAAATAAGTTTTCAAGTACGAAATGTATTTTGCTTGCCATTATTCTTACTCAAACTCAGGTCTTGTTGAATACGGTGACTGTGTTTGTTCCTCCATCAGTCACCACTAATGGACCCTGTGTTGCCATGGCAACAGCCCATGGTTTCTCCATGTCTTTAACAACGTACTTCAGGAATTTGCCTCTCTTATCAAATATCTTCAAACAACAGTTTTCTGTGTCTACCACGATTATGTTACCTGCCCTGTCTGTGCAGATGCCACTGGGCTTGTTCAGATCACTTCCCTCAACATTGTTAACGTAACCTCCAAAACTGAACAGAAACTGTCCATATTCATTGTACACAAATACATGGTTACTGTCCCTATCTGACACAACAATGTTCCCGTCCCCATCCACTGTGATGTACCGTGGGTGCTTCATTTGGACCCTCTGCTGCCAGAATAGAGAAGCAAGCCAACTTGTGCAGACTCCCCTCACAGTTCTCACAAGTGTTCCATCTGGCCTGAACACATGAACTTCACCTTGTCGGTTGTCCCCGTCTCCTGTGGTTTGTGTGATGAGGATGTGGTTCATCCTGGTGTCCACGGCAACTCCTCTGTCCCATCTTGTCTTCTGCATTTTAATCTGTGCGACTGCATCACCCCTTTTGTTGTACTTGACAGCAAAGTCAGCATCGTCTGTCCACCCCACCACCCACAGGTTCCCCTCCCTGTCCAGGGCCATGTCTGTTGGATTCATCTTCTCCCACCTTGACTCATGCAAGTATGTTTGGAACTCTTTCACATATTTTCCCTGCAGTGTGAAGACTTGGATTCTCTTGTTTCCTCTGTCTGCCACAAAGATCTCCCCTTCTTCTGACACTGCAACACCAACTGGGTCCCTGAACTGTCCTGTTCCTGATCCCCTTCCACCAAAAGTCACTCTCTCTGGCTCTTGGTTACCTTGGTAATGACCTGCCTCCCCTGCTTTCACATACCCCAATACTGGCACTGGGGTGTACATGTCTGTGGGCTGAAAGACAGCAGGCTGGGTTTGTACAGGAGTTGGTGCTGCTTTTCCTCTGTACTTTTCTACCACATCTTTCAAAGTGGTTTCCTGTCTAACAGAGTTGGCCCCTACCTTGTCCATTTCTTGTTCTGCTCGATCACAGGCAGCAGACAGTTCATTGACCTCTGCGGACACTTTCTTTCTTCTCATCTGTATTTTCTCCAAGTTTTTCTTATGATCTTCTTCTGATTCAGACAAGAGTTGGTCTCTTCTCTTGGCCAGTTTCTTCACCATTTGGTTGTAGGCCTGAATGATGCTGTTGTCTCTCTGCTGTTTCTGCGCGTTTAGTTTCTTCTCTCCTGCCATCAAACTGTAACTTTCCAGAATGTTCCTCCCCTCATTGATCAATGCCTGGACTGAAGATTTGCTTTCCTGTATGGCGTTTTTGATAGTTGTCGTACTGTGGCCATTATGTGCTTTCTCCAAACACAGCACACAGACTGGCACTCCGCACTGTTTACAGTAGAGCTTGACCTCTTCAGTGTTGTGGATGCTACACTTGTCGGCAGTTACTTCCATTGTTGACAGTGTCGCTTGCTGTTGGAATGTCTCACACATACTGGCAGCCATGCTGTTGTCTGGCAAGCCTGCGACCCCCTGGCTTGGAAGTGTTGTCTTCTGACGGCATTTCGGGCACTCAAAACTCCCCTCCTTTCCCGCATGGACCTCTAGACAGTCCTGACAGAAGGTGTGCTGACAGGGCAGCACCTTGGGCCTGGTGAACAGCTCCAGGCAGATGCTGCAGGACAGTTCTTCATGGATTTGTTCCCCAAAACTCCATGGTGCAGCAGCTGCCATTTTGTTGTTTCTCCCAAGCCTTATGATGACGTCAGCCTTCAAGTTCCACATGCATAATTCGTTTTAATTTCCTGTGTGAGCGTCTAGCATAACAGTCACCAGACAGAGTTGGCAAGGCTCCAACATGTAGTACCTGCCTGGCATGCGAAAAGCTTCTAACACGTTGTGTGACTGTGGATATGCCTGTCTGAACAGAGTAGGTTGATAGCAGGTGTGTGTTGGGAAGATTGACAGGCAGGATAGGAGGTTGAAAGGTCAGACTCAGCTGGTGTGACCTTGAACCATTCTTTATCCATAAGATACAAGGCTTAGCTCAAATTTGAAGGTCACCTAAAGCCCAAACTACTTCCCACAAGTCTGAAAACTTCTGTGATTTCTTGTTAATAAAGAAACTACAGCATGTAACAGGGGCAACGACAAAGCATGTTTTGTGCCCACCTGTTGAGTGTCTTATTTAATAAATTTATAAATTATAGAGTCTTTGTTCACACTGTTCAGGTAGTCAGTCTCAACACAAACTCTGTAACAGCACATGCCTGCAAGGAGTTCATCTGAGTTTTAACACAGATATTTTCTGTCCAAAAAGTGTTTTGGGATCCTGGTTGAAAGATAAAACCTCTACAAATATGTTATGGTTTATGATTGATCTTTTCAGTGTTGACTGAAAATAAGTAACCCTTTGATATAAAACAGTAGCCTGGGTACCATCCGGATTTTCGCTACGCAACGCTCGAAAAAATCATGGCGTTGCGTAGCAAAAATCCGGATGGTACCCAGGCTAATAAAACAGCACAGGCAGTATCAAGCTTTCTGTGAATTACAAGACTAGTGTTTGATAAAGTATATATTCTATATCCCCTACAATATTGGAACCTACATAGTAATATGTAATTTAATAATAGACTGAGTATAGTTTCGTTAGAATTTGAATTTTAATTTAGAAGTTTGGAAATATGGTGACTGTGTGCTTTCTACAGTCTGTCACGACTAGCTGTCCTTGTGTTGCCATGGCAACAGCCTGTGGCTCCTTTACGCCTGTAGCGATGTGTTTGAGGAATTTTCCTGTCTTGTCAAACATCTCCACACGTTTGTTTCCCCTGTCTATTACAAAGATGTTACCAGATATATCTGTACAGATGCCAAATGGATTCTTCAGCTGACCTTCACCACTTCCCTCACCTCCAAACTGGAACAAAAACTGTCCGTCCTCGTTGTACACATACACACAGTGATTGCACAAGTCTGACACAAGAATGTTCCCTTCCCCGTCCACAGTGATGTACCATGGGCGCTTCATCCCCTGCTGCTGACCCACAGTTCTCACAAGTGTTCCATCTGGCCTGAACACCCGTATTGCACCATGCAGGTTAGGCCAGTCTCCTGTGGTCTGTGTGATGAGGATGTGGTTCCTCCTGGTGTCAACGGCAACTCCTCTGTCCCACCCTGTCTTCTGTAGGTCAAACTTCCTCAGCACCCTGCCCTGTTTGGTGTACTGCACAGCAAACCCAGATGTCTCTGTGTTCCCCACCACCCACAGGTTCCCCTCCCCTTCCATAACTACATTATATGGTTCCATCTCTTCCCCCAACACAACTGTTGGGAACTGTCGGACAAACGTTCCCTGCAGGGTGAAGACTTGGATTCTCTGGTTCCTCAAATCTGCTACAAAGATCTCCCCTTCTTCTGACACTGTAACCCCAGAAGGATAGGTCAGCTGCCCTGGTCCTGATCCATATCCACCAAATGTTACCCTTTGGCTTTCTGTTAGGATAGGTGCAGATGGGAGAGACTGGACCGTCACATGCCCCAATACTGGCACTGAGGGGTGAAAGCTGCACCTGTGTCCAGACTGGGCTTGTTTTCTTGTTTCTTTTGACTGTTTTGATAATGATATATGCTGTTGGAACCTCTCACACATTATGATAATGTGCTGCATGTATACTGAGTGTAGTTGTTGAAACAGCCTCTGGCTGCAGTCAGTTTTTCTTAATGTCTTCTTCCCTACCTTTAAGCTCTCAGAGTTTCTTAGGTTTGAGTTCTTAGGTTTTCCATTCCTTAGTTTTTGAGGTCCATCCTTTCTGCAATGTCTTTTCTGCCTTTTTGGCTTTATACTTCTACTGACTGCACTTATACATTATATCAAATTGCAGTTGTCAGACAAACTTGCAATTACCCCTGGGGTGGCAGCCTGACCTGCTGACGAGAGTTTCAGCAGCAAAAAGTGCACTCACACCTCTGCTTGGTCCTGTAGACAGTCCTGACAGAAGGTGTGCTGACAGGGCAGCACCTTGGGCCTAGTGAACAGCTCCAGGCAGATGCGCGCTGCAGGACAGTTCTTCATGGAACTGTGTCCCCAAACTTGACGGTACAGCCGCCATTTTGTTGACCTTTAGAACCCTGTGAGGTCAAACCTCTTAAGTTTCCATTACTTGCCTCACCTGAATGACAGGTGTTTACACAAGGTTATTGCTTACACAGATCAGGTGTTTGAACTCACCTGTAAAAGTGAACAAGGCTCCAGTACATGCTTGCCTATGTACAGGAAAGTTCTACATGGACTAATGTTTTGCCCAAATGGACAATTCAGCCACTGTTTTCTTCTGTTTCCTAAACAATGTTTATGACACTGACCCTCTGATGCTAGAGCTCTACTATCTCACTTCTTGTTGGCTTTTTGTTTTTGTGTATTTGGATTTCTCAGTTTTGTTGTTGACCACCTGTTAATGCAGCAGTGTGTTTCAGAGCTATTGTCTTTTATATCTTACCTTAGAAGAAGAAGATCTTAAATTGAACATAGCAGGCAATATATCAGACAAAAATTAACCATTGAACCAGATTCCACTGTAAGACTTGAATTATGTATTATTTATAATTAAAAGTATACAGACGTCAAGCATACAAAAGGGACATCAATATTTTACATAAATCATAATATGACACATTAAGAAAAAGAAGTTCATTTCCTTATGCCCTGAGGACAAGCTTAAATGGTTAAATTAAAGTCTTTTAGGATTTGTAATATTATTATAAGAACTTAAAGTTTGTTCTTTTGTGACACCAATAAATTATGATTGTGGATGTCTTGTATAACTTGAAAATCAAGTTTTGGGTACTCTCAAGAATAAAATTCTGTGATTTCAGAGCATCACTGTAGCTTAGCCCTTACTTGCCCCAGTTTAGAAGTTGGAAAATATGGTGACTGTGTGGCTACTACAATCAGTCACTATCAGGTGTCCCTGTGTTGCCATGGCAACAGCCTGTGGGCCCTCCATGTCTGTAGCGATGTGTTTGAGGAATTTTCCTCTTTTGTCAAACATCTCCACACGGCCGTTTCCCTTGTCTGCCACGATGATGTTCCCTGCCCTGTCTGTACAGATGCCACAGGGATGCTTCAACTGACCTTCACCACTTCCCAAACCTCCAAACTGGAACAAAAACCCTCCGGCCTTGTTGTACACAGAAACACAGTGGTTGTCCCAGTCTGATACAAGAATCCTCCCCACCCCGTCCACAGTGATGTTCATGTACTGTGGGTACCCAATCCCTTGATGCTGATCCACAGTTCTCACTAGTTTCCCATCTGTCCTGAACACCTGTACTCGAGCATACAGGTCACCACCATTCAAGCACCATTCTCCAGTAATGTCAGTCACCAGGATGTGGTTCCTCTTGGTGTCCACGGCAACTCCTCTGTCCCACCATGAGTTCTTGAGGTCTATTTTCCCCAGCATCCAGCCATGTTTGTTGTACTGCACGGCTAAGTTGGCAGGGCTTACACTCCCCACCACCCACAGCTTTTCTATCTTGTCCATGACCACGTCGCATGGTCTCATGTACTTTTTGTCAGAGATAGTTGTTGTTACTGTGGACAGTGGTGGCAGACTCCCCTGGCCTAGGATCTGTTCCTCTGGCACAACTGTTGGGAACTGTCGGACAAACGTTCCCTGCAGGTTGAAGACCTGGATCCTCTGGTTCCCACAGTCTGCTACAAAGACCAGGTCCCCTCTCCCTGACATCGTAGCACCAACCGGACCGTTAAACTTTCCCGACTCTGATCCCTTTCCACCAAACGTCACCCTCTGAAGCTCCTTTTGACTCTGGTTACCTTGGTGATGACCTGCGCCCTTTGGTACAGCGTTAATAGATGGAGGTGGTCCTCTTGTTCTTGGTGGTGGGATTGATGCAGATGGGAGAGACCGGACAGACTGCCTTTGGTTACCATGGTGATGACCTCTGCCCCTTGCTGCAGGTGCTGCTGGGATTGGTGCCTTTGGGAGAGACTGGACCATCACATGTCCCAATACTGGCACGGGGGTGTCTGTGGGCTGAAAGACAGCAGGCTGGGTTTGTACAGGAGTTGGTGCTGCTTTTCCTCTGTACTTTCCTACTGTCAGTGTCAAAATAGTTTCCTGACTAAGAAGCTCCTTTCCTTTCCTCTCCATTTCTTGTTCTGCTTGACCACAGGCAGCAGACAGTTCATTGATGTCTGCCGACACACTGTCTCTTCCACTCTGTATTTTCTGTAAGTTTTTCTTGTGATCTTTTTCTGCTTCAGACAAGAGTTGGTCCCTTCTCTTTTCTAGTTTCTTCACCATTTGGTTGTAGGCCTGGTGGATGCCTTTGTCTGTCTCCTGTTTCTTTCTATTCAGGTTTTTCTCTGTCTGTCCTAGACCTTTCATGAAGCTGTGATAACCTCCCAAAATGTTCCTCCCCTCGTGGATCAAGGCCTGGACTGCAGGTATCCTTTCCTGCACAGCTTTTTTGATGGTTGTTGTGCCGTGGCCATTATGAGTTTCCTCTGAACACTGTTCGCAAACTTGTATCTGACACAGTTTGCAGTACAATTCAAGCCCCTTCGAGGGGTGAAAACTGCACATGTTTTCAGACTGGGGTTGCTCCCTTCTTTCCCCTGACAGTGTAGCCCGGTTTTGTAGCGTTTCACACATATTTGCTGCCATGAGATTGTCGGGCAAAGCTGCAACCCCCTTGCCTGGCAGCTTGACTTGCTTGCGACAGATTGGGCACTGGAAGGTCCCTCCCCTCCCTGCATGGTCCTGTAGACAGTCCTGACAGAAGGTGTGCTGACAGGGCAGCACCTTGGGCCTTGTGAACAGCTCCAGGCAGATGCTGCAGGACAGATCTTCTGAGATTTGCTCCCCCAGACTCAACGGTGCAGCCGCCATGTTGTTTGCCCTCCCAAGCCTCTAAAAGTAGTAAAATCAGCCTTTAAGTGCCAATAGATAATTCTGTTTGACAACAATCAGCTAACAGAGTTGGCAGTTCCCAAAAGTGCTGCCAAGAAGGGTCTTCCCAGCATGTTACAAACCACCAACAATCATTCATGTACCTGTAGGGCACCTCTTTATGGAATTGCTCTCCCAAACTTCACTGTACAGCCACCATTTTGTTGACCTTTAAAAACCAGGTGTAAGGTCAGCCCTCTTAAGTTCCCATCACCCTGCTTACCTGAATGGCAGGTGTTTACACAGGGTTATTGGGTACACAGATCAGGTGTTTGAACTCACTTGTAAGAGTGAACAATGCTCCAGTACATGCTTGCACCTGCACAGGACAGTTCTGTATCATGACCAGGACTTGTTTAAAACGGACCATTTTCTCCTCTTTTCCAAGCTTAGGCCACACCAATTTAATTTCTTGGTTAACGGATTCGCCGCTTCATTTTTTTCAGATTTGCAAATAAAAATAAAAATCCAGAATCAACTGCAAAATGCTCATATTTTGCCCTGAACAGTTGAAAACAGACCTTTTCATCCTAGTTGTTACAGTTATTCCATCTTTCAATGCAACGGTATCATTAAAAGTTCAAAATTCATTGTTTGAATTTTGAACCAACCTGGTGTGTTGACTTCATGGCTCCTATCGTACCATTTTGGGCCATAATACGATGCCTAGGCCTGTTTTTATTTTTATTTTTTTTCGCCCGCCCGCTCTATTATTTTTCTAGAAAAATCCGTTAACCAAGAAATTAAATTGGTGTGGCCTTATGATATCAATGATATTGACTCTCCTGTTTCAAAGTTCCACTGAAGTTCACCTGTTGTTGGCTCTCCGTTTTTGCTCTTGGTTTCTGAAATTATGTCATTGCCCACCTGTTAATGTAAACTTGTTTCTTTCTTTCATAGCTGTCTGTCATGTCTTAATTGTAGAACCTACATACAGTAGCAGACCAGTGAGCAACCAAATTCTACTGTAAAAGTCGACTTAAATCAAAAGAATTACTTTAATTTATAGTGAGACATCAAAGAACAAAAGTACAAAATCAATATTTGACATAGATCAAGACATGGTACATGGTACATTACACACAGATTATACAGTAAAACAAATAAAAATAGCATAGCAGATAGTTCCAGCTGAATTTAATGTTAATATTTTTCTTACACACTAAAATGTGAACATCTTTGATTTGTAAAAGCTACAAATCAAGTTTCATGTAACATTACTCCCTAAAGAATTCGTAAAGTTTTAGATATTATAAAATTGTGTGGTTTCAGAGTGTCACTCCACTATACTTGCCCCAGTTTAGAAGTTGGAAAATATTGTGACTGTGTTGCTGGCACAATCAGTCACTACCAGCTGCTGTCCCTGTGTTGCCATGGCAACAGCATGGGGTGCTGCCATGTCTGTAGCGATGTGTTTGATGAATTTTCCTCTTTTGTCAAACATCTCCACACGGCCGTTTCCCCTGTCTGCCACGATGATGTTCCCTGCCACATCTGTACAGATGCCAAGGGGATACTTCAGCTGACCTTCACCACTTCCCTCACCTCCAAACTGGAACAGAAACCCTCCTGCATTGTTGTACACAGATACAGAGTGATTGTCCCAATCTGACACAAGAATGTTCCCTTCTCTGTCCACAGTGATGTTCATGTACTGTGGCCACTCCATCTCTAGCTTATGATGCACAGTTCTCACAAGTGTTCCATCCGTTCTGAGCACCTGCACTTTACCATGGTGGTCTTCTGTAATTTTGGTAACAAGGATGTGGTTCCTCCTGGTGTCCACGGCAGCTCCCTTTTCCCAACACGTGTTCTCCAGCTCAATTGTCCTCAGCACTCGGACCATGCTACACTTGCTACACACAGCACCGCTACATGTTGTTGAGCAGACTCTGTCCTCCCCACCACCCACAGGTTCCCCTCCCCGTCTGTGGCCACGTTATACGGCTCTATCTCTCCACCTGAAATAACTGTTGGAAACTGTCGGACAAACGTTCCCTGCAGGGTGAAGACTTGGACTCTATGGTTCCCTCTGTCTGCCACAAAGATCTCCCCTTTCTCTGATGCTGTAATGCCGGCTGGACCGTTAAACTTTCCCGTTTGTGATCCTTTTCCGCCAAACGTGGGCTGAAGCTCTGTTTGACTCTGGTTACCTTGGTGATGACCTGCGCCCTTTGGTACAGTGTTACTAGATGGAGGTGGTCGTCTTGTTCTTGATGGTGGTGCAGACTGCCTTTGGTTACCATGGTGATGACCTTTGCCCCTTGCTGCACGTGTTTTTGGGATTGGTGCCTTTGGGGGAGAGGGGACGGTCACTTGTCCCAATACTGGCACGGGGGTGTCTGTGGGCTGAAAGACAGCAGGCTGGGTTTGTACCGGAGTTAGTGCTGCTTTTCCTCTGTACTTTTCTACTGTCAATGTCAAAATAGTTTCCTGACTTAGAAGCTCCTTTCCTTTCCTCTCCATTTCTAGTTTTGCTCGATAACAGGCAGCAGACAGTTCATTGACGTCTGCCGACACTTTCTTCCTTTCAGTCTTTATTTTCTGCAAGTTCTTCTTGTGTTTTTTGACTGCTTCAGACAAAAGGATGTCTTTTCTTACCGTGAGCTTTTTCACCATCTGGTTGTACGCTTGAATAATGCCGTCATTTGTCTCCTCTTTTTTCCTATTCAAAGTTTTCTCTGTCTCTTCTAGACCTTTGATGAAGCTGTGATAACCTCCCAAAATGTTCCTCCCCTCATGGATCAAGGCCTGGACTTTAGGTATTCTTTCCTGCACAGCTTTTGTGATGGTTGTTGTCCCGTGGCCATTATGAGTTTCCTCTGAACACTGTTCACAAACTTGTATCTTGCACAGTTTGCAGTACAATTTGAGCCCCTTGGAGGGGTGAAAGCTGCACATGTTTTCAGACTGGGGCTGTTCCCTTGTTTCTCCTGACAGTGTAACCCGGTTCTTCAGTCTTTCACACAAACTTGTAACCAAGTGGTTGTCTGGCAAACCTGCGACCCCCTGGGGTGGCAGCCTGAACTGCTGACGACAGTTTGGGCAATGGAAGGGCGTCCGAACCTCTGCATGGTCCCTCAGACAGTCCTGACAGAAGGTGTGCTGACAGGGCAGCACCTTGGGCCTGGTAAACAGCTCCAGGCAGATGCTGCAGGACAGTTCTTCTTGGAATTGCTCTCCCAAACTTGCCGATGCAGCTGCCATTTTGTTGTCCTTGAACCCGCAAGGTCAACCATCTCAAGTTTCAGTTGTGAATAGGATGTGTTTTTACTCTGGCTTCTTGTTTACGTATGCACAGATCACATGTCAAGCAAGGCTCCAAAATTTGTCAATTGTTTCATCAGGTTGGCAAGAGACAAGTTTCATAGTATGATAATAAAACTTTCAAGTTTCTTTATTAAACCAGAGTATATCTCAGATCTTAGTACAGATCTGTTTTCAAACATACCTGGGCACATACATTTAAAACTACAATGATTGTGAAAACAACAACACAATTATTTACAAATAACGTTACAGACACAGACGTACTAGTCTCCACCAGACTTCTTTTGCGGGGTGAATAAATCATAGAAATCGGCCTAAAAAGGGTATTAATTGGCGAGAGAAGGTAGCTGGCCAGAGAAGCTCCATTTCTTGGCGGGGAAATGGAGCTTCTCTTGCCGGCTACCTTGTAATACCCTTTTTAGGCCGATTTCTATGATTTATTCACCCTGCAAAAGAAGTCTGGTGGAGACTACAGACGTACAATGTAGAGACCCAATCGAAGTGATAAATGGTAAAAACAACATTTTAAACATGATTCCCATCAAATCCTCTGCAGGCTGGAAGTTCTTCGGAAATCTTATGGATGCAGGGAAACTGTCCATCTGTGGGGAGGAGAGTTTTGGGACAGGGTCAGACCACATCCTTCGCAAACACATTCATATAATACATCTAAGGTGGCCAACCTCTCCAACTCTGTCCTTCCACTTGCTACATAATCTAACCCAACACCACAGGGTATCACCAGTCACCATGGTGACAGCCATCAGGTCCAGGTCATTGACCTTATTTGTTGGAGAAGAAGAAGAAACAGAGAAAAAACAATATCTTTTCCTTCAGATTATCTGTAAAGGTAAACATGAAATTTTGGATAAAAGTTTTTATTTTCTATCCTTTCCCTTTTGCAGGCTGGAAGTTCTTTGGTAACCTGATGGACGCAGGGAAACTGTCCATCTGTGGGGAGGAGAGTTTCGGGACGGGGTCGGACCACATCCGGGAGAAGGACGGGTTCTGGGCGGTCATGAGCTGGCTGTCCATCATGGCTGCCAGGAAGGCTAGCGTGGAGGAGATTGTGCAGACTCACTGGGCCAAGTACGGAAGGAACTTCTTCACAAGGTAAGCTTTTTTTCTTACCTTTACCAAGGTTATGTTTTCTGTAGCATGTGTTTGTGTATGTGTGTGTGTGTGTGTGTGTGTGTGTGTGTGTGTGTGTGTGTGTGTGTGTGTGTGTGTGTGTGTGTATGTGTGTATGTGTGTGCGTGGTTTAGCATGATAACTCAAGAAGCATTTATTTTGGTGAGACCTACAGAAGGAACTTCTTCACCAGGTGAGCAAGGTCCTTAAGACATATTCCCAAGACTCACTAGAAGAAACAACTCACTAGGAGTTTACTCCCAATGTCCTGGCTGTCCATCATGGCTGCCAGGAAGGCTAGCGTGGAGGAAATTGTGCAGACTCACTGGGCCAAGTACGGAAGGAACTTCTTCACCAGGTGAGTAATGTCTTTAAGACATATTTGAAGACTTACTAGAAGAAAGTTTACTCCAATGTCCTGGCTGTCCATCATGGCTGCCAGGAAGGCTAGTGTGGAGGAGATTGTGCAGGGGCACTGGGCCAAGTACGGAAGGAACTTCTTCACAAGGTGAGCAACGTCTTTAAGACATATTTCATGATTTACTAGTCTAGAAGAAAGTTTACTCCAATTTCGTGGCTGTCCATCATGGCTGCCAGGAAGGCTAGTGTGGAGGAGATTGTGCAGGCTCACTGGGCCAAGTACGGAAGGAACTTCTTCACAAGGTGAGATATGTCTTAAGATGTTGCTCAAGATATCTTGGTACTATGTGTATTCCATCATCATGGCTGTGGCAGTCATTTTTCAAATTGCAAGGGCGTTATTTTGGAATCCCTGCACATTATCTTCCACTGTTTAGATTCAAACCAGAAGATATCTGTCATCACTCGTTATGTATGGAGTTGACTTTAAAAATCTTAAGTTTCTAAATTCCTAGTTTACCTGTTAAATAGTCAAGTATTTAATGTCAGGTGTAAAGTTCTTGCCTCCAACAATATTGAGAGTTAAACGATCCTTAAAGCTTCACATAACAAGAACTGAGCAACTCTAGCTGTCTTAACCTAAAGGGTGATTGCAGTGTGAAAGATTTAGAATACATTCACCTTGAAGGATATGTTTTCCTTTTACCTGACAGCAATTGGGAACTTAATTGGACTACCAGCCATGGTTTTGGTAATTGCACAGGGGTGGAGCCTTTCTGTGCTCAATATGATTGACAGGTGGTGTCTCCCATATTAGGTATGACTACGAGAACGTTGATGCAGCCCCAGCCAATCAGATGATGTGCTCACTATGATTGACAGGTGATGTCTTCCATATTAGGTATGACTACGAGAACGTTGATGCAGCTCCAGCCAATCAGATGATGGCAAACGTGGAACAGCTGATCACAGGCGCGACCTTCGTCGGGAAGGAGTTCTCCCACGGAGACAAGACCTACAAGGTCGCGAAGGGAGACAACTTCACGTACACAGACCCTATAGATGGGAGTGTCTCTACTAAACAGGTATTATCTGTCATAGGTTTATTCTGTATGAAAGCTCATCTGTGTTGGTAGAAATCATTTTTACAAACTAAGGTTTATGTAGTTATACATAGGTTTATCTCATTTACTCATGCTCAGGCACAGTTCTGGACAGGCCATGCCTAATATCCAGAACTGTGCCTGATCCTAACTCTATTCTTTTCACCAGAAAAAACAAACGCCTTTGTCTTAGTTTTTTCTTCAAACAGATGTCATCTGCTTAATCTGCTTTGACTTTTCCTACAGCAAGTTGATGTTTAACCTAAGTTAGAACACTGAAGTAGCGTTTGGGTACCAATTTTTTTATTGCTTATGAGTTAGACAGCAGGAAGAAGGTTAACATATTATACATGTACATGTACTTCTCCTGTGCAGGGCCTGAGGATCGTGTTTGAGGATGGATCTCGAGTGATTTTCCGTCTGAGCGGGACAGGAAGCGTGGGGGCCACGATCCGCATGTACGTGGACAGCTACGAGACAGACGCAGCAAAGCAGAAACTGGACGCACAGGTAGGTTCCTAGGCATTCACTTTGTTTTCTTTGTTTGTTTGTAGATATTTTCTGGTTGGTTTGTTTGTAGATATTTAACACATTTGTCAAGTAATTGAGAGTATATAGATTGAGGGTTATTGTAAGTTCTCTCACCTAGAGCTTTCGACCAGTCACTCTGGTCTTCCTCAGTAGACTGACCCAGTGTTGACAGGGTCAGTCTACTGAGGAAGACCAGAGTGACTGGTGGAAAGCTCTAGGAGAGAGAATTTTTTTTTTGTGCTGGATCTGAAGTCTTATTATAAACTTTACGTTTTCTAACAGAAGGAATGATGCTATTTTTCAGGTTATGCTGAAGCCACTGGTAGAAATCGCGCTGAAGTTGTCCCAACTGCGAGAACTGACCGGCCGCGATCAACCCACCGTCATCACCTAGGCAACCACCATCACCTAGGCAACAGTCATCACCTAGGCAACCACCATCACCTAGGCAACCACCATCACCTAGGCAACAGTCATCACCTAGGCAACAGACATCACCTAGGCAACCACCATCACCTAGGCAACAGTCATTACCTAGGCAACTATCATCACCTAGGCAACTGTCATCACCTAGGCAACAGCAAAACATCCAATATGTGTATTGGTGTTAACCAAATGTAACCCCTTTGGAAGTTTTCGTGGAGGCTACCAGTAATGAATTTTAGCAGGAATAATTGTAATGTGGAAATTTGTGACTTGTTGATTTTCAGCTGTATTAGCTATTGCCTATTGCTTTTTAATTAAGATTGGTTACAGCTTGTCCTACACTCTTTAAAAGATTCATTGATCCTTCAAAGTTAATGTAAGTTTGACTGTACTGTAGATAGAATCAGATGTTCTTCATCTTGTAAAAGATCTGGCTTTGTTAGTACAGTTATGATGCTTGTAAGATAAATCTTTGCTTGAAAATACAAGACAAAATAAGGCAAATAAAAACAGATTGAACTCATACTCATACTGGGATAAATTCACACTTATACTTAAGTTGTACCTGTTGTGGAAACTTTCTACCCCTTAAGCCATTTTTGTTATTTATACTGACCAACAATGAGTCTGTACTATACAGCAGTACAATTTGAATGGTTGCAGTACAGTTACTGATACTGTATACATTTTTCCATGGCAGCTCCAACACACAGAGGACTACAGAACTTCTACATAAATTATAAACTTCTCTGTACTTCAGACACCCATTGTTATTCTAGCTCATGATGTCAGTAGAACAAGCCAATTCAGGAAATATATTTTCAAAGTTGTCTTTTTTTTGTTTTAACTTGACATGTAATGTCTGCAATGTAGCAGTTTTGCTTGGGTACACCCCTATATTCCAACACCCTACAATATGTTCAATCAACTGTATGTTCCAACACCCCTAACCTAACCCTATGTCAGAATGTGAGGTTTTGGTCTTAAAATTTGAATCAACAGAATGTTGTAAATGCTTGTAATTTGTATGCATGTTAAGATAAAGCATTGCGTATAAAATAGAAAAATTCTATTTTTAATGCAGTAAGTTGCAATGTGATTGAATGAAGGTGCTTATAGTATCAACATCTGTGTCCATAATATCACCAGGGTCCATAATATCGCCACCTTGAGAAATAGTGTGCTTAAAGATATTTTTACTGCAACATACCCTAGGTATGTACATTTGAGGTGTGCAGGAGTGCATGCCAAAAGTATGTTGCAGTAAAAATATCTTTAAGCACACTATTTCTCAAGGTGCCAATATTATGGACCCTGGTGATATTATGGACACAGATGTTACATAAAATCTTACAATATATTAGAAATATGAAAACTAAGATATTTTCTGTAGTGTGCTTAAGATAGGCCTAAAGTTACAAAATCCGAGCCATTGATGTGAAAATGATTTTGTGCTTTTGACAGTCTTCAGGCCAAAAAAAAATCCTGTTGTTCCTGTTAAGGTAGTTTGTTGTTCGCAGAGTGTGTTTTTGAATCTAGAACTGCAAATAAAAGTGATTTGACTTTGATTGAACCTTTACTGCAATGTCGTGCCTGTTTTTTTTACATCTTCTATCTGTACTTCGCAGCTAGACATTGTACAAAGAAAGGGTCAGACTTTTCATCTCAAGTGCAGTGTTGAACAGATACGTTAGGGGTCGCTGTTTCACACGGCCACAGCTAGCCGCCATGTTGCTGAAACTAGATATCCTGAAGACATGAAAGATGTTTATTGCCACGGACTTGGCGGGTATATTAACTCCACTAAAACAGCGAAAATTGGTCAAAATCGATAAAATATGAATGAAGAGACAGTTTTTTCTATATTACCAAAGACTAAGTATGTAACTTCATAAGTTCACTGTCAACTTAAGCTCGAACTATAAAGGACCTAAGCTGCCTCCCAGTTAGTTTACTGAGAGAACTGCGATATTATTGAGCGTGCCAGCTGTGCCCTCAGTATGGTGGCTAGTGTAGCAGTCATGAGGTTTGGTAGCCTCTAAGCAGACTCCGGAAGGCGTTTTGAAGCTGTTTTTTCTTCCATATCCATTTTTCTCTGCCTTTTTCGTATCAATAAAACCTGTCGTTCTTCCAACCTATGTGGCACTTACTGTGACTAGACGATGAGAAAATGCAGAAACAAAAGAAAAAGCACATAGTCAGCAAAAACTGGTGTATGAAAACACGTCCAGGAGCTTGATTTGGAGGCTATCGCGTCGTCCGTGCCAGTAAAAATGCGCGGGTTCTCCTGGAATGTTTCCCGCCAAAAATAGCGTCGGGCGAGCAGCTACACATATCAGGTGGCCTTTTTCCAGGAACGACCTGCGGATCCGTGAGTGTTGCAATTAATGTTGCAATTTTTTAATGTTGCAATCTCACACTTTACAAGTCTGCGATACGAATAACTGTGATTGTCGAAGCTCCGCCGTTTTAAGAGATGTTTGCACTCTTCTGGTTTGTTTCTGTACGTGTCCGTTGAAACCGTTACAGCCCTGTAGTTTTTAGCATAACACGACGATATTATAAGGGCGGAAAGACAGCAGAAGCTGTAAGATTAAGGTACAAACAGGAAAGTTTTGGATTGTACACGTCAGGACAAGGTTTGGTCTTTTAAATAGAGGAATTTCTTGATATTTTTGCGATGGTTTAGGCAGGAAACCTGTGAAAACTCGTTTAAGAAGCTGAGGCTATCATTGGTGTTGGACCCATATATCACATATCCTTATAGTCCCACAAAAACTCCATATCTTCACCCAACCCGAACTGAGGCTTGTATTCAATATACAATTCGAAATTAATACTGTTTTTCTGTCTATTAACAAATTATCACTATAGTTTTGAAAACCTCTGATTTGTAATTTTCAATGGTCATCTAAGAAGCATCACACGCTGACGTATATGAACGTAACATTTAGGAATGATTTTCGTTCTTGAGGGTTTAAAAGAAGAGAGAAAACCACAAGTTCGTCCCGCTATGGTCTGTGATTGTCTCTCTGCTTTAGCCTGACTCCCTGACATCAGCGACATTCACACTTATGACATGATCAAATTTCGCCCGTCCCAAATAGAACCCGCAGCGCCAAATACCGCTCTAACCCCGCACTGGGCTGGGATATCCTCCTCTACATAACCTCAACCGCTTCTTACGGTAATTATTCCACATTTTAGCCCTGTTTTACTGTTTGTTACAACAATTGCGACCTTAAAGCCATCTAAGTAGTCTGCTTGTCGGCGTGAATTGCTTGTAAGACCGTGTTGTCCCGTGGGAGAACGCAGGTCCATGTACTTGTGACATTTTTCTGTCCGCCCAGACGCGCCCGGCATGCGCGCTCTCCGTGTTAGTATGTTGTACTCGATATATATTCAGTCTCCAAGCAGATGCGGGGTGTACGGCGCAGTGTTTTATGCTTGGTTTTGGTGCATTTTGTACTTGTATTTCTAGTATCCCGATCGTCTAATAGAGCAAAGTGCCGAAATGAAAACGTGGACTGCTAGAAGAGTGCACAGTTAAACCTTCTGTAAAAACATTTTACAAGTTGCTCCCCACTTCTACTTGGAGGTTACTATGCATTAAGGGGGAGGGGTAGCCGCCATATCGGTTTGGGTGGCAGGGTTCGTCTGAAATAAATATTCTCAGCTCGCTGGACTGTTCATGATTGTGTTTAACTACTAGTATATCTGATGTAGACGCGTAAACTTTGCACTTATTGCATAGATATAAATGTTGCAAATTGTAGATATACTGTTAGATGTTATAGACAGAGATGTTGTACACATAGACTTTTTACGACTGTCGGAATGATAATATTATGATTCTCCTTTGTCTCTAACACCTCAAGTCACTATATTCCTTTCACTTCAGTCTTTGTGTATGTTTTGTTTTGTTTTGTTTTGTTTTGTTTTGTTTTGTTTTGTTTTGTTTTGTTTTGTTTTGTTTTGTTTTGTTTTGTTTTGTTTTGTTTTGTTTTGTTTTGCATGTGGGGCTAGTTCGTCAGTTGGTTGGTTGGTTTGTTTGTTTGTTTGTTTGTTTGTTGGTCGGTTGGTTGGTCGGTTGGTTGGTTGGTTGGTTGGTTGGTTGGTTGGTTGGTTGGTTGGTTGGTTGGTTGGTTGGTTGGTTGGTCCCTTCACCCAATGACTAAAACTGTGTCCTGTTTCCCTCCTCAGACCGTAGTTACCGGACCGCTGCCCGGCCAGACCCCCACACCACCCCTGTACATTGGACACTACCTGCCCAGCCAGATCACCCCGTCCTTCCGCACCAGCTTCCCGGCTAGACCTCACCATGACGGCGCAGGTAATTCCCGTGGAGGCCATCCTGGGCAAGCCTGACTTTAAGTACCAGAAGGTTCAGTACCGGCGGCACGTCTGGCAGCCCGGCTTCGGGGAAGCTGAGGAGCAGGCCCCGCCCGCCTTCCAGGCTCACGCCGGTACCAGCTCGGCCTCGTCCATGTACATCCGCAGTAAGGACTACGGATTTCAGGTGCGTACAATCATACAGCACTTTCCCACATCTCTTATCTTATCTTTAACGTTTTTTAAGAACCTTTCGATAAATTACTCTTTTAAGATATTTCAATATTTGTAATAATAGTATAACGTATTTAAGGTTTTAAACAATTGTTAAATTTTATCCCTATGTGTGTAAACAGCTGTACAGCCCATTTGTAATCGTAATGATGTAGTATTTTGTAACCAGACCCAACAATTCAGCCGAATGCATCTCGGCTGCCAGTGGGTCCTGGGATTAATTAATAAACCAGTCTATACATAAAACGTAAACATTTATTGATTGTTCGAATTCACGAGTACATAGCAGCGCCGATTGCGTACAAGTTTTTGATGAAAAACTACACGTATCAAATGCAAAAGCCACAAAAGTAGTATCCGCTGTAAGGACTGTGGTTTCCAGGTGCGTAACATCATACAGCACTTTCGCACAACATCACATCAAATCGTTGAATAGTTTCATCAGGTTGGTAAGTCACTGCAGCACATAGCAGCGACACCTGTGCTGCAGTGCAATGTGAACCAGTCAGAATTGCCCTGAAGTTGGTTGTGTAAAAAAAGTCTCTTTACTCAATCACATCAAATCGTCTGCAAAATCCTACAACACTTTTCCACATCACTTCAAGTCATCTGTAGTAGTAGTAGTAGTAGTAGTAGTAGTAGTAGTAGTAGTTGTGTAGTAGTAGTAGTAGTAGTAGTAGTAGTAGTAGTATGTAGTAGTAGTAGTAGTTGTGTAGTAGTAGTAGTAGTAGTAGTAGTAGTAGTAGTAGTAGTAGTAGTAGTAGTTGTTGTTGTGTAGTTGTAGTAGTAGTAGTAGTAGTAGTAGTTGTTGTAGTAGTAGTTGTGTAGTAGTAGTAGTAGTAGTAGTAGTAGTAGTAGTAGTATGTAGTAGTAGTAATAGTTGTGTAGTAGTAGTAGTAGTAGTAGTAGTAGTAGTTGTTGTGTAGTTATAGTAGTAGTAGTAGTAGTAGTAGTAGTAGTAGTAGTAGTTGTGTAGTTGTGTAGTTGTAGTTGTAGTAGTAGTAGTAGTAGTAGTAGTAGTAGTAGTAGTAGTAGTAGTAGACTTGTTTTAAATTTATAGTTCTTTGCAAAAGATATACATGCCTACCGGCAGCCGTGGAGGGCTGAATTGTGAGGCTATTTACAGAGGTGTCAGTCTATAGAAATGATTACTACTAGACTAAGTATACATTAACACTTGTCATCATTAAGCATACAATGTTAAAATTCAGTTATTCAACATAAAAAATTCTGCGGTTTCCAGCGTAACGTGTGGACACCAGGGGACGTACAGTACCGAGACTCGGAGCTGGGCTCGCAATGGAAGGCGCCGGAAGGCTATGAAGGGGTTTACGACGCGTCCGTTTGGGGAATTCCGACCGACGGCGACATGCTGCCCGTTATCGACATCGACTGGGATGAGCTGAACCGGCGGAAGGCTGAGCGAGACGCCCGGCTGGCTGCCGAGGAGGAGGCGGCAAGGCGGGCGGCGGAGGCTGCGCTCGCGGCTGCAGGGGCTCCAGAGGTTCCCGGCCCGCCGATGTCGCGACTGGATTACGACCGCATGCTCGGTCTGGGCGGACAGAAGGAGCTGGGCGGGCCGCTGGGCGGGGAGTATGTCACGCCCACGGAGGAGGACAGGCCCGTCGACATGCAGGCACAGGTAACTCCAGTACAGGGGCAACTTATCCAGTACTGTGCATTTCTGAGTCTATGACTGAATTGGTTAGGATCAGGCACGGTTCTGGATAGTCTCTATCGTATCCAGAACCGTGCCTCTTTAGTTCTGAAGTTCTTCTAGTTCTAGTTCAAGAGTTAGGGCTAGGATCAGACACGGTTCTGGATAGACTCTGCGTATCCAAGAACGTAGTTTTGCACCAGGCATGGTTCTGGGTATACGCTTGTACCTTCAAGTACCGTGCCCGAGCACTGATCTGATTAAAGTACGGTTCTGGATACAACAAGGCCGTTACACTTCCAGAAAACGTTACACTTAAAACAATGCTGTTCAAGTGATGCCTGATGCAATGTTACAATGAAAAAGAGCATGCAGGGAAGTCCAGAAACCTAGCAATTTTCCGTACCGTCCCTACAAGCCTAGAGCGTACGTTTATCAAATTGCAAAAGGTAATGTTGATTTCCGTAAATAATTTCATCAGGTTGGAAGATACTTAGGGTATGGAATTTTCTTCTGACACAACCAGTAAGGTTCTCACCTGCCAGCAGAAGAAAATTCTATACCCTAGGTAATGTTGTTGATGACCGTTAACTGGGCTGCACCTCCCCCAGGCCCGGCCAGGCGGGGGCGCCATGCCGGACGGGACCGACACGCTAGCCGGGGACTCTGCCGCCAGGAAAGGGCACGAGCTCAACAGACGGAAGCTGGGAATAGGTCAGTTGTTTGTTTGTTTGTTTGTTTGTTTATTTGTTTGTTTGGCGCCATTACCTATGATACAAGTAGTGTAAATTGTATAGCCAAAACGAGAAATCCTTCGGAAATTTTATTTCAAGAACAAAGTGTAGTTCGTCCATACAGTCTTCTTCATGTTGACTGACCAAATTGCCTTGAACACGTGACCAAGTAGTGGGTCAATGATATCTGGAAGCCTGTATCGCCCCCCGTCTATACTATCTATTGTGTCTACTGTTAAGTCTATCCTGTTTCAGACGGGGCCTGTACATGTAGTGAACACAATCTTAAGTTAAGGAATACTCAAGCATTAGTGTACAAAGCCATTGCCAGTCCACAATATCAACTCTGATCTGGTTTGGACCTGATTCTTTGTGTCTTAAACAAACGAAATAATTCGTGTCTGTTGGGAAAATGGAAGCTTGTTCAAATAGGTTTTTATACCAATTATTGTGCCTCCTAGTGCATGGTGTTCTAACAAAGTAAATGATTAGCTAAATACCAACTTCTTGATGTTTTTGCGTTTTTTTTTAATCTCCATAGTGACCCGTCCGTCCACGATGCACGACCGCACGTACGGCAAGACAGCCGAGAGCGGGAAGGGCGCGGAGCTGTACCAGAAGCGGCAGCGGCGCGTGGTCCAGTTCTCCAAGGAGGACATCCGCAGCTTCAAGCCGTGGCTCTCCCTCATCTACGTGCCCCCAACGGAGATCCTGCCGTACTACGGGAAACCATTCAAGGTAAGAACCGTGCGTAGTCCAGCAGTGTAGCATACGTAGTCTAGTGGTGTAGAATAAGAAGTCTAGTGGTGTAGCGTGTGTAGTCCGGTAGTCTAGTTCTCCAAGGAGGACATTCGCAGCTTCAAGCCGTGGCTCTCCCTCATCTACGTGCCACCAACGGAGATCCTGCCGTACTACGGGAAACCATTCAAGGTAAGAACCGTGCGTAGTCCAGTGGTCTAGCATGCGTAGTCCAGTGGTCTAGCATGCGTAGTCTAGTGGTATAGCATGCTCAGTCCTGTGGTGCAGACCTCCAAGGAGGACATCCGCAGCTTCAAGCCGTGGCTCTCTCTCATCTACGTGCCCCCAACGGAGATCCTGCCGTACTACGGGAAACCATTCAAGGTAAGAACTGTGCGTAGTCCAGTGGTATAGCATGTGTAGTCCAGTGGTCCAGTTCTCCAAGGAAGACATCCGCAGCTTCAAGCCGTGGCTCTCCCTCATCTACGTCCCACCGACGGAAATCCTACCGTACTACGGGAAACCATTCAAGGTAAGAACTGTGCGTAGTCCAGCGCTGTAGTATGTGTAGTTTAGTGGTATAGTGTGCGTAGTCCAATGGTGTAGCATGTGTAGTCCAGTGGTCCAGTTCTCTAAAGAGGATATCCGCAGCTTCAAGCCGTGGCTCTCCCTCATCTACGTGCCACCGACGGAGATCCTACTCTACTACGGGAAACCATTCAAGGTAAGAACCGTGCGTAGTCCAGCGCTGTAGTATGTGTAGTTTAGTGGTATAGTGTGCGTAGTCCAATGGTGTAGCATGCGTAGTCCAGTGGTCCAGTTCTCTAAAGGACAATCGCAGCTTCAAGCCGTGGCTCTCCCTCATCTACGTACCACCAACGGAGATCCTGCCGTACTACGGAAAACCATTCAAGGTAAGAAGCGTGTGTAGTCCGGCTGTGTGAAGTCCAGCGGCATAGAATACGTAGTCCAGTGGTGTAGCATGTGTAGTCCAATGGTGAAGCATGTGTAGTCCAGTGGTCCAGTTCTCCAAGGAGGACATTCGCAGCTTCAAGCCGTGGCTCTCTCTCATCTACGTGCCACCGACGGAGATCCTGCCCTACTACGGGAAACCATTCAAGGTAAGAACTGTGCGTAGTCCAGCAGTGTAGCATACGTAGTCCAATGGTGTAGCATGCGTAGTCCAGTGGTGTAGTATGTGTAGTCCAGTGGTGTAGCGTGCGTAGTCCAGTGGTGTAGCATGTGTAGTCCAGTGGTGTAGCATGTGTAGTCCAGTGGTGTAGCATGCGTAGTCCAGTGGTCCAGTTCTCCAAGGAGGATATCCGCAGCTTCAAGCCGTGGCTCTCCCTCATCTACGTGCCACCAACGGAGATCCTGCCGTACTACGGGAAACCATTCAAGGTAAGTAGGGTTAACGACCGAGCCTCTGGACCAAGAGGTTCGGAGTTCGAATCTCTGCTGTTGTCGCACACCCGACATGCACACTTATGGAAAGGGTCGCAGACGGACGTTAAGCCGTGGTCCAGAGTTCATAGCTAGGGGAATATCCTCTGTACGATAAACCTGTAGATACTGTACATAGTGTTTGTCTTCTCTATCACAAACGATGGGAGAATAACTCGGATCTCCATTACTGTTTGTGTAAGTTTTACACTATGCTTCCTGTAGTCAGTAGTACTTAGTTAAGTGAGCTGAAAGTGGATCTAGATAACTTTGCTTTCTTTTCCTTTCTTTTTTTCCTTTCTTTTCCTTCCCAAGGATGAGCCCGCAGCCCCCGAAGAGCCACCGGCACTCGTCCCGCCCAAGAAGCCGGGGCAGAAGGTAGGTACAGAATACAGGATGGCTTTATTGGTATTCGCAGCGTGTAACATCGAATTAAAACCGAATTTATGATAATCACGTTTGGATAAAAAAAAACAGTTACAATGGTAAAAATATTTTCATTTGTAGCAAAAGGCGTAGTTTTGGAGTTTAGGTGGATATTATAAGATCTATACAATCTAGTTGAAATTGCATGTAAAACACAGTTACAAACCACAAATTAGTATCTAAAATGCTGCCTAAGTCCATGCTGGTTATGGAGTCGGATCAGGTATTATACGTAGGTAATTTCATACATACTGCAGTACGCATCTGGAACAGTACTAGTCTCCCGCAGCCTCCGAAGAACCTCTACATCTAGAACCTTGCAGTTGCTGTAACCAATGATTAGCCAGGAGTGTTGTTTTAATGTTACAACCCAGGCTATTGTTTACGTTAGCACAAATGCTAGATATAGAGTTCATGTATCTGTTGAAAAGGAAAACAAAACTTAATATATCTATTTGTTTGTTTGTTTGTTTGTTTGTTTGTTTTGTTTGCAGGTGATCCCCCGCGCGCCGATGACCCCCTGGACGGCCGCCATGCAGACGTCAGGTGACGTGGAGCCCGCGTTCACCCACCTGCGGAAGCGCGGCGCTCCGTTCGCCACGTACCTGGAGAAGGGCATGGTGGGAGACCAGCCGGAGACGGTGGGAGCCGTGCAGGCCGTCATGGGCGCTGCCGAGGGGAAGAGAGGTTTGTTTGTTTGTTTGTTTGTTTGTTTATTTAACCAGAGAACATATCGCCCTGCAGGCCGTGATGGGCGCAGCGGAGGGGAAGAGAGGTTTGTTTGTTTGTTTGTTTGTTTGTTTGTTTAACCAGAGAACATATCGCCGTGCAGGCCGTGATGGGCGCTGCGGAGGGGAAGAGAGGTTTGTTTGTTTGTTTGTTTGTTTGTTTGTTTGTTTGTTTGTTTGTTTGTTTAACCAGAGAACATATCGCCGTGCAGGCCGTGATGGGTGCGGCGGAGGGGAAGAGAGGTGCTTTTTGGTTTATTTGTTTGTTTTTAGATTTTATTGAAATTGTAACAATAAAATACACATGGGACACAGGCAGCTGTTGCTGGTGTTGTGTCCCACACATAGAAACAAATACAATGCAGACAATACTCATTTTCACCTGAGCGAAGTGAGGAAAGTCGTGTAAAGTGCCTTTCCCAATCAAGGGCACAAGATCTGTGGCATGTCAGGACTCGAACCTGGGACCTCTTGGTTCCGAGTCGAGCACTCTGGCGTTACGCCACAGCCCACACGACCCCACTTATTAGGCCACAAGAGAGGTGTTTATTGTGTTTGCCGAAAAAAACATACTGTTTTTGCTCTGTTACCTCCTCTTCTCCAAGCTGATAAGGTCAATGACCTGAACCAGACGTCTGTCACCATACATGTAGTAACTGGTGTTGGGTTTCATCATACTGCATCATTTTATAGCAGGAGGGATTTAGACTCGTGTCTGACCATATACATATATATATATATATATATATATATATATATATATATATATATATATATATTAAAAGAGTAGACCATATGCGAAGGTAAACATGATGCATTTGCTTTGCAAATGTCACCTTTCTAGTTTTGTATCTGACTTTCTAGGTGCCGCCGGCGGTGGGGGAAGAGCGGGCGGCGGCGGTGGTGCGTTCGCAGGAGACGGAAGCGGCGGTGTGGGAGACGGCGCGTACGGATCGGGCTTCCATCTAGAGAAGGTGAACCCTGACGCTCGTCAGGAGCTCCCCAACTACAAGGACTTCAACCGCACGGCGAAGGGGTGGCTGGCTGTGGAGGGCGCCGAGACGTACGCGATGTCGGAGGCGGAGGCGGCGTCGCGCGGGTTCTTCGCGGTGAGGCACATCGACGCGGAGGCAGACGTGTGGCGGCCCGACCCGAGCGTGGTGAAGGCCATCCTACAGGAGCGGTCCGAGCTGCACCTGCCGCCAGAACTGGCCGGCCTGCCGGAGTCAGAGGAGTTGTAACTGTCGAGACTGTCGTATCTGAAACCTACAGAGGAGTTACTTGTATAATAAAATATTGGAGAAAGCAAAAGCATTTTTGGACCGGAAAACTTTAGAGAGAAAGTTTGACAAGCTTCTGGCCAAAGTTGAAGCTGAACGAGCCATTATTGTAAGAACATACAGGGGCTGTGTGATTCTGTTTCTGAAAAACTTCTCCTGGGACTTTTCTTGACTTTAGCAATTTTTAAATGATTTTGACAATGAATCACAAGTTAGTTATTCTAAATGTTAATTGCTTCTTAATTGATGTCGGAGGCGGAGGCGGCGTCGCGCGGGTTCTTCGCCGTGCGGCACATCGACGCGGAGGCAGACGTGTGGCGGCCCGACCCGCGCGTGGTGAAGGCCATCCTACAGGAGCGGTCCGAGCTGCACCTGCCGCCAGAACTGGCCGGGCTGCCCGAGTCAGAGGAGTTGTAACTGTCGAGACTGTCGTATCTAAAACCTACAGAGAAGTTATAGTTACCCCCCCCCCCCCTTGTGCAGTATACCCGACACGACGACATAATCTTCGGCAAGTCGAAGGCGGTCGCCCATGGAAAGAAGAAGAGAAGAGAAGAGTATAGTAGGCGGGACTATCGTATCAAAAACCTACGGAGGAGTTGTAGTAGGCGGGACTATCCACAACATGCAGTGCCACGGGCGGGAATGTATCCACAACGGTGACACAACCTACAGAGGATTACAACAGGCGGGACTGACGTATCCAGAACCTACAGTGGGCGTCACTTGATGTCCAGACCATGCATGATGTACAAAATGACTGATAAGCCCAGAAGAGAACAAGAAATACTGTCATGCTTTCAAGCATTAGCCAAGGATTGAGGTGTTTCTTTGAGGCAGTCGGAGGAGTTATAATAGGCGGTACTATCGTATCCACAACCTACAAAGGAGTTATAATAGGCGGGAATGTCCAGAACATACAGTGCCACTGGCCTGGAAGACAGGAGATTTCCAGACTATGCATGATGTACAAAATGACCGATAAGCGCAGAAAAGAACAAGTTATAACGGAAGGGAATATCGTATCTACAACCTACAGAGGAGTTATAATAGGCGGAAATGTCGGATATACAACCTACAGAGGAGTTATAATAGGCGGAAATGTCGTCGTCAAAACCTGAAGTATCACTGGAAGACAGGAGATAGATGTCCTGACTATGCATGATGTACAAAATAACTAATAAACTGGTACGAACTACCAAGTATCTTGTACCGGCTCAGAAAAGAACAAGAAATGGGCATGCCTTCAAGTACCAGAGTTATCAAGCAAGGATTGAGGTGTTACTTTCTTGCAACAAATTGTTACCCCTGTCCTTGGTGCTGAAACATCGGTGCAAACTTACGGCGTTACACACAGCTGCACTCATGAGTCTTGTAACACGAGTAGTAGCGGCCATGTAAGCATAGTTCTTGATAAAGCACGGATCCGGGTACAACACGAGCAATTAGAGAAAAGCGACAAGCGGAAAGAACGGCAAATTGTCCCTGTCCTTGGTGCTGAAATGTTGGTGCAAACTCACAGCGTTACACACAGCTGCACTCCTGAGTATTGTAATACGAGAAGTATCAATTATGTCAGTATAGTTCTTGATAAAGCACAGTTCTGGATACAACACGAACGTTATGAGGAAAGCGACAAGCGGAAAGAACTGTAAACTGTCCCTGTCCTTTGTGCTGAAACATCGGTGCAAACTCACAGCGTAACGTACACTGTGCCCAAGTGTAACACGAGTAGCGGCGGCCATGTCCTTTTCTGTAGCCAGGAATATTCTGAGAGTAAGCGAAGATGTTTTTAGCTCATGAAGATATGACTTGTACCGAGAAGGACCCAGGGGTTATAATGGTTTAGTGATACGTACCCAGACCAAGTTTCGGGGGAGGTGTAGACTGAGTACAAGTATAGTAAATGAACAAAGCTCGGTTCTATCGTAACTTGCGTTAAAACGTCCCGTGTTCTTAGTCTCCACCAGACGTCTTTTGCGGGCTGAATAAATCGTAGAAATCGTCCTAAAAAGGGTATTAATTGGCAAGAGAAGGAAGCCGGTCAGAGAAGCTCCAATGTAGAGTACCCTGTTCTCATTATTGGTTACCTAAAAAGATTACTATCATGGTAAAACTTGTATCTTGAGCTGAAAGTGTTATAATTATCAACGTTAGCGTTCAATAAAGGCCATCGGGGATGAACTGCACAAATGTAAGACTTTTATGAAGAAGTGGCATATTGTTATTATCATTGTTATAATTACTGTTTGTTAGAAGTGCCTCCCTCTGGAAGTTTGCGTTGCTTTCTATGTTGTTGTTGTTCGTCCGTCGTAGTCGACGATGACCAATGAACATCACATCAGGTCTTGTGTGTCCGGCTGTGGCTCACAAGTCCTATACGGGCTCTGAAGGTTCTGCCACAGGTCGGGCACAGGTGGGTTTCTGGATAGTTTATACTATGTATAAACTAAGCAGTTCACACAGAATTCTGCTTGTATATGGATGCAAGTTGTGCAGGTTAAACATAGGAAAACTTTAGGCCCGACCGTGTAAAACAAAAGGGGGCGAGATTACTTATGATGTTATTAACACAAAAATGAAAATAAAAATGTGGATTTGTGAAGATTTTGAATAGATTCTGACCGCGTAGTGTTGTGATCTCAAGATTTAGAGCCACAAGATAGCCTCGCATCCAGCCATCATATACAGGCTACCAGTACCATTTTCGGGACTCTAGGAGCTCTACGAAGCGAGGTTTATCTATGCACTTGGTGTGGAGTTTGCACAATTGGAGGCAATTGATTTACCCCTGCCATAATTCATTCACTGGACAGCTCCTAGAACCCCTAAGATAGCCCACCCAATAGCCAGGGTACGATAGACTGGGTACGAGGCTACCGCTAGGCAAGATGGCGGCTCGAGGTAGTGGAGAGTTCGAAATGCTGACTGCAAAATCAGATCTCTGTTACCGAGTTGACCACGCAAGACTAGATTTGAGGTAAGTACATATATCCTGGGATACATTGGTCATTTATCTCTGGTATTATTTGTACATTTGTACTTTTAAATCGTACCGATAGCTATAATATAACCTCGGCAGTCTGTGCTCTGACAACACAGTGAAGTTCGAAATCAAAGACTAAACGTTAACTTTATTGTCATCGTTCCTACCTCCAGTAAATCTGTCAAACAATCTGGAGATTGCTGAATACAGAATTGTGTTTGCCCCTCCTCCCTCCTACCGGACTCAAATTATTTAAAAGCGAAGAATGACAATTTTTTATTATGGTAAACAGACCACCGGGAGCTCGCCGGTATGTTTACGGCGCTGGGAGTGCTGCCCGCCCGCCCAGGCCCAATACCGTACGTCGGTGGAGTTTACGGTGTTGGTTTCCATTTAAAAAAACACAAAAGATTTTTGTCAAAGTACAATACAACTGCATACTAGTATATCTGTTGCTGTTGCCCGTGCTTTAAGTTTAAATGGGCCTTAAATGTCTAGTTTCTATCTTGCTATCTTCTAGGTTCTCATGTTTTCTCTCCAAAATAGAATGAGATTATATATAAAATCTTTATACCTAAGACATGAACACACAGACAAAGACTGGAGTTGAACACCTCCATTTTATTCCCTTCCTAGATCTAAGGTACATTTAAAGTCCCTGCCTACTGTCAGTTCTACCATCTTCCAGTATCTTCTCTCATTTTACCAGTCCTTACAACTTACAATATTATAATTATATATATATATAACTTATGTTGTATGGTATGTTCTATGTAAGTATATATGATCAGTATGCAATTAACTCACTAATTAAAAAGCTATTGAAGTTATGAATTCATGTAAAACTATTCCTCAACAATTTCACACTGTAACTAGATTTTACTTTCAGCACAGTATATCATTTAACAGAGAATTCTAATACATATATTGCATTAAACAGTATACACAGTAATTAATTAAACTAGCCATCATCCCAACATGTGGTGTTAAGTTTACTGAAAGCTATAAAAATCACAGAATATTCCTGATTAATTCCACAGTCATCGCAGTTTTTAACATTTTTGCTAAATTTTTGTTTAATATATACATATAAGAGATATATTTGATTCACAATAAAAGGATCCATTTTGAAGTAAAATGTTGGTCAGTTTCATAGAGCAGACTAAAACCATTGGCCAGGCCTCCAGGTTCTAGTTCTGTTTTCAAGTAAATGATGTTGTTTCTATCATCGTAAGTACTATGAATATATAATGTTTATTAGGATTCCACACAATCTTCCACATATCAGTTTAGGTACTACTGGTCAAGGATCCTACATTATGTCTGTCCTTGTAACACCTTTCCTTGAGACCAGGTACTGTTTTTGTGGCCCTTTTAAAAAAATTCTGTCCTACTACCTATGTACATGTATACTGTGCGGTAACTACAATTGGTGCCACGTACAACATAAGACTAGTATATAATGGTAAATATGCAATCTAGCTCACTAAGTATACATGCAATGTTACAGTCAAATTGTAACTAGAATTTGATTCCAGCAAAGTATACCTTTAACTGTGCATTGTATACAATGTATCAAAAAGTATCATAATAATCAAACTAGCCCTGCCACCCTATTAAATATGTGGTGTATAAGAAAGCTATAATACAGGGTATTTGCACACCACAGTTTATAACATTTTTGCTTTTGTTGATTTACATATGATAAAAGATAATATTTGATTTACAAGAAGAGTATGCATTTTTATGTTTTACATGTATAGAGTAGACTTAAACCTTCAACCATATAGTTACCATGACTATATGATATTTATTAGGTCTCCACACAATCCTCAATATACTACTTTTCTTTGAGCCCAGGTCGTCTTTTTGTGGCCCTTTTTAAAATCCTTTCGGTCTCTACTACCAATGTCTACATGACTTGTGTTTGTTTGTTTGATTTGTTTGTTTGTTTGTGTGGTAACTATATCAGTGCACTTTACTCTAAATGTGTCTAGTATGTTACAGATTTACACACAAGCGCCAAAACCTCTTCATCCACAAATTTACTCAAAAGTCAAACCTGCAATCTCAGCCTTTGTTTTGCTGGCCATAGGTGTCAGGACTTGGTTTTTAGGGAGTGAGTATGGGAGCCCCGGTATACAAGTAGGATGGCACCCAAGACTCTACTGGGGGCCAACCATTGTTTTTAGAGAGTAATTCTTAAAAAGCAACTGCAATTTGTTGTCTAATCTATCTATCAATCCATCATCTACTGGCATTGTAAACTGTGAGGCATGAGGGATGTGTATGTGTGCTGCTGCTGACTGCTGGGGTTCCTCAGGGGTTCATAGTGGTGAGGGCTGTCAGCACCAGGGGCAGCTGCTGTCTGTGATTGGTTATTAACTGTCTCATTCTCATAGCCATACACCGCATCCTGTGGACCAGCTGCAGCATCTTTAGCAGCTGCTGCCACGTGGCTGTTCTCATATTTGTGGGACTGTGGACCTTCTTCAGAAGGCTGGGAGGGAGATGGAACCTCATGACCATCGTTAAAGCTGCCGACATGCTGAATTTGCCCTGAGCCTGGCTGTGATGCTTGTGACGGACTAAGGACATCATCACTTTCTGACTGATCAATATCGTCTATGGTGTTGTACTCAGCTGTGTCAGGGTCCTCATCTGTTGGGAGGTTATAGATATGCTGGCTGTCTTCTCTATTGAGACGTGGTGTTCTAGACTGACTGTTTATTTCAGAATCTGCATTTGTTGTAACTTTATTCAGACCTATCTGGTCATGACCACTGGATGTGCCTGTGGGGTTTGTGTTGCTAAAGCCTTGCTGGGGAGTAGTATCCCTTTGCCTCCTCTTATACATGCACCCTACTGCAAAGCCAATAGTGCAGATAATGGATAGTCCAAGAATAACTCCCAAGGTAGCAAGCAGGGGCACAGACAGGACAATGCCACCATCACCAGGGCCTGTATTGCTCTCAGTTAGTGTTAATGTCACAGTCAAAACAAAAGGAGGGTCAGTAGAGTCAGCCATGTGTTTTGTGCTGGAAGTGGAGTAGACTGGTGTTGTTTCCTCACAGATCAGGTCTTCAGGATTTAATGTTACATCCTGTAAGAGTTGCCCTGTAAGGTTAGCAGGTCCGGCACATCTGATCTGGTTTTCAAATGTGTAAGACCCGTTCATCCTCTGCTTAAAGGGAGCCATCCTACAGTCACACTGCCAGGGGTTGTTGTCAATGTTTACATCAGAAATGGAAGCCAGTATGTCATATGCCATGACTGGCAGTGTCTCTAATTGGTTATTATCTAATGTAAGCTCTGACAGCATATTCAAGTTTGATAAGGCCTCTACAGGGAAAGTGCTGATGTTGTTATCAGAAAGTTCCAGTGCTTGAAGCTGAAGTAGATTCCCAAATATGTCAGCTGTGATGGTGCTGATGCTGTTGTTCTGAAGGTCTAGTAAACGTAGCTTTGTTGTGTCATTGAAGGTGCCTGCCTCAATACTGTGGATGTTATTACTGTCCAGGTCAAGAGTCTCTAAGTTACCAAGTCCCGCAAATATGTCAGCTGTGATGGTGCTGATGCTGTTGTTATGAAGGTCTAGAAAACGTAGCTTTGTTGTGTCATTGAATGTGCCTGCCTCAATACTGGGGATGTTATTACTATCAAGGTCAAGCCACTCTAAGTTATCAAGTCCCACAAATATGTCAGCTGGCAGACTTGTTAACTGGTTATTGTAAAGATACAAGATCTGCAGATTACCTAGACCCTCAAATATGTCAGCTGGCAGACTTGTTAACTGGTTATTGTGAAGCCACAACCACTGCAGATTTCCAAGTCCCACAAATATGTCAGCTGGCAGACTTGTTAACTGGTTAGTGGAAAGAAGCAAGCTCCTAAGATTACCAAGTCCCACAAATATGTCAGCTGACAGACTAGTTAACTTATTAGTGGAAAGATACAAGGTCTGCAGATTTCCAAGTCCCACAAATATGTCAGCTGGCAGAGTAGTTAACTGGTTAGTGGAAAGAGACAAGATCCTAAGATTACCAAGTCCCTCAAATATGTGAGCAGACAGACTATTTAACTGGTTATTGTAAAGATACAAGTACCGCAGATTACCAAGTCCCTCAAATATGTCAGCTGGCAGACTTGTTAACTGGTTAGAGTAAAGATGCAGTTCAATCAGGCTGGTTAAGTTGTGGAATGTGTTGTTATGGATCATGGAGATCTGATTGGAACCAAGATGTAATGATATCAAGCTCCTGTACCTTGAGAAATCAGACTGATTTAAGGTTCTGATGGAATTGCCCCACAAGTAAAGCATAGTGATGTTTGTAGGCAGGTCCTGAGGAACACTGCTGAGGCCTCTGTTGGTACAGTAACAGAATGATGAACAGCTGCTGCTGCAGGCTGCGGTCAGGCCAGCTTCCTTCAGGAGGATCAGCAGAAGAACCAGCATCCTCCTGGCTTTGTTGGACATACTGATGTGTCGCCTGTACAACAGAGATCAGATACAAAGCATGAAAGTCCATCTGAGTTTTTCAGTTTGAGTTTTATTTACATCCACAATTAGCCTCATAAGAGGCTATTCTCCCTGTGGTCTACACATTACATACATATATACATAGTTACATGTATTACAAGTGAAGAGGAATATACAAAAACATTACAAACTTTAAGTTAACAGTATGAAGCAAAAATAGCACAATTCCTTAAATAACACAATTCCTTAAATAACACAATTCCTATTTACAGTCTAATGCTTTACTAGTTGTCGCCTGTGTTGTTCCACAATTGTGACATAGTGACAAAGCTTCTCTGTTGAATTTGGGTCCTGATAGTCAGCCATCCTAAGGTCTTCAGCATGGTGTCCACATGTACATCACTATCACAACCAATAGCTTAGTCAGCCTTGCTGCCCTGTTCTGGACCACCTGTAGTCTTCTGATGTTGTTCTGTGTTGTGTTTCCCCATACAGAACAACAGTAGTCTATATGTGGGATTATTAACTAAAGGTGTTGACTAACGGCTATTCTCTGCCGACTCGGTAGTAAATCCTTAACCCTTCCCACCTGTGCCAAGCTTCTGTTGCACTTCTGAACTATATGAGCAATGTGGTTGTTATGTGAGGTTTTGATCAAGGTGTGTAGTCCAAGTAGCACTAAGGGACATCTTTATTGGCCTGGGTTTGCACAGATGAACCCCTAAAAGCCGTTATTGCAAGATTCACTTCTCCTGAGGCCCAACTACAACAATTGTATGTACCAAAAAACATGGTGAGGCCTTATATGGCTTTAATACATGTAGAAATGTGGGAGTTGTAATTTAAACTAACCTTGACGAAGATCCCGAAGAATGATTGATGGAAGTCTAATCCTTGAAGGAAGAACTACGGGCCCAGATTCTTCAGTGGCCCATTAGACAAGGAAATGGCGTCTGTAAAAATAAAGCAAAGTTGTGTCAGTAGTTCACAGAATCATCAAGTACACCATTGGTCATTAATGAGATACATGTATGTGAGAACACCTCAGTTAGCAGGTTGAAAAGTTTTGAGGACATTTCAGAAACATTTCAGTAGGATTTCAGTATCTCATCATTCTCCTGTAGCTGACAGTGTGTATAATGTGGTAATTGTTTCCATTCCTAATGTCATGTTGACACAAGTATATTTGAAACCATGAATTTCATCTCCTTCCTTTATGCTTGTAAGTTGCTTGTGTCTTAATAAGAAGTGGAAATTCTAGAAAGTTCCTTAAAACTTCAAAGATCTGATCAGAATGTGGCTAGCTGTGTGACAACCAAGTGTCTTCTGACATTTTCCCTGTTTGACATTTCCTCGTCGCCATTTTGTTTTGAGTATACATGAGTTGTTTGGTGAAGATTATTCGTTAAGATATCTGTCAGTAAACAGGTCACAGTGTTTGGAAAATTATGAAACATTTCACCAGTAGGATTTCAGTATCTCATAATTCACTCCTGTAGCTGGTAGTTTGTATATAATGTGGTAATTGTTTCCTCCTTGTTATGTTGACGCAAGTATATCTAAAATTATGAAATCTCTTTCAGCTTAAATGAGTGTCAAGAAGAAGTTAAGAAATCCTAGACAGAAAGTTCCTTGGATCTTTAAGTTAAAAGGAAAAGATAATTCTAGAAGGTGTCTGACTTTGTGTCAACCTAGACACTGCCTTTAGACATGTTCCCTGTTTGACATTTCCTCATCGCCATTTTGTTATGACGCATGAACTAAACATTTTAGATCCGACAATCTTTCCAATGATTTTACTTGTTATGACCTTAAAATTACATGTACATCCTGATGAAGTAGGGGCAGAGAAGAAGTTGATTGACTCACCTCAGTATGGAAGGAAGTTGTCTTAAGTCTTCAAAGTCCTTAAAATCTCAGGGAGTCGTCTTAACTGTTTCTTTCAGTGTGTCCTTCAACCCTGCACTGAGGTGGTTGGACTACCTGAGGTTAATTAAGGGTGTTGGGTTCGGCCTATTGTCTTGCTGTGCCCACAAGTGATATCTGTGGTAGTTAACTCTGCCAGCCATGTGAACATAATGAGTTGTTCATGATACACTCTAAACTGCTGTCAGGGCTCAACATACTTTTTTATACCGCTATTCAGCTAACATATTCATATTAATCAATACCATTCTGCTTTTTCTGGCAGAAAAGCTTCATCTAGTGTATATTTTTGTCTTGCAATCCTAATTTTTTCCTTAATAACTGCAGGTTTCAGGTGGGTATTTTGAGCCCTGCACTCTGACATCAGAAACCAAAGTTATTCTGGGAATAGCCTTAGTTCTAAGGTAGGTTCTCTTAGTGTTTTACTGAGAGAACCTAGCCTCATAATTTAAGAGGGATGTCTTGGACAGAAATCTTAATCAGAAATTTTATCACCAATTTTGTCATCAAGCAAACTAGAATACCCTTTTGCTTGATGTCTTGTTCCCTACTGGATTTTAGATATTATAAAAAATAAGAGATTTAGTGCAAGACTCTCGCTTGTGATGTCTGATAGCTGTATGTCTCTGAAGATATTATTTTGCTGAGAGTTGTTTTAGAATATCGTTATCTTATGGAGCAAGCTTCCTCAGTATTGTTCCCAGTTCAAACGTGAATAGTCAAGACTGGGTAACACAAAACCTTCCAGGGGCTCTAATATTGTTCTGAGTGTTTAGAGTAAAATTTTTGTTTCTGTTCGTTTGTGCACAGGTTAACGAGGGCTACTGGAAGTGGGGGGAGGAGCACACGGTGGAGATCAACAGCGCGTTCCTGACAGGCGTGTACGGGATGTGGAACGTCTACGTGTTCAGTGTGATCTGTCTGTACGCACCGAGCCACAAGAGGAAAGGTCTGGAGGGGCAGCAGTCCTCCAACATACAACTGGGTATGTCTGTGTGTGTGTGTGTGTGTGTGTGTGTGTGTGTGTCTGTGTGTGTGTGTGTGTGTGTGTCTGTGTCTGTGTGTATGTTTGTGTGGATAGCATTCAGCACCAAGGACAGGACTTTATTTTTGTGTGAGTGTATATGTGTGTCACTGTGTGTGTGTGTGTGTGTATGTGTGCCTGTGTGTCTGTGTATATGTGTGTGTGTGTGTGTGTGTGTGTGTATGTGTGCCTGTGTGTCTGTGTGTGTGTGTGTGTGTGTGTGTGTGTGTGTGTGTGAGTGTATCAGTCTATCTGTCTTTGTGTGTGTGTGTGTTTG